CTGCCCCCGCCTCCGCTAAACCCGCCGCCGCCGCCGCCGCCGCTGGCCCCTCCGAGGTTCGAGCCTCCGTTCGCCGCCGCCACCAGCCGCCCCCCTACTGCCGCTACAACCGCCGCTCCGCCCCCGCTATCCCAGCCCTCGTCCTCGTCCTCATCGCTTTCCAAGCCATCGCTTTCGGTAGAGTGGCCGCCACCGCCGCCGCCGCCGCCGCCACCGTTGGGAGGCTATGGGGTTAGGGTGGTTTTTCAGTTTTTGTGCGTGGACGAACACAGCAAGGGAGAGGGAGGGGGAGGGGGGGAGAGAGAGAGAGAGACAAGAGGGAGAGAGAGAAAGAGAGAGAGAGAGACGAAGGGGGGGCGATCAGAGGCCTTGAGGTCGATGTTGCCGCGGCACATAGAACGAGTGATCATGTCTGTTGTTCAGTGAGTGCTGGCTCTCCTATTGTCGGCGACAGCGCTACACCCAAACAAGGCAGGAACAAAATAATCCAGCCCCGAACACAGCTTCCGATGTAACAAGCTCGCGGAGCTTTCTTTCCGACCCATCTTCGTTGCAAGCCTTGGAGACAAGCAATCGTGTTGCATTGAGCCAGCCCTCCAACGAATGTACGTAACAAGCTTTTCGAACAACCCCTTCTTTCGCAAGCCTTCCAGTCCACCCTGTCTGGTTCCGCGTCCGAAGCCACTCGGGAACTCCGCCAAGGGCACGTCTTCCAAAACAAGCCGGTGGCGTTTCACAAACGTACACAGATGGTCATCCCTTCCCCCAACCCCTCTCTACACCTCTTCCTCTCTCCTCCGAAATTGATGGCCTAATCGAACGACTGAACGGCCACAACTATCGTCACAAACAAGCGGGGTGGTGTTCGCTGCTGCATCTGTGCTGTCGTCACTTCCTTACCCTTCTTTCTCAACATCATTCCAGATTTATATAGGCTACAGGAAAAATATGCGGCAACCACGATAAACGGGTTGTGCACACATTCTCACCCCCCCCAACCCAATCGACTTACCTCGAAAGGTTGTGCCGACGGCAAGCCTTTCGCACCGAGCTTCAAGTCCGTCAGCGGTTTGGCCGGCGACGGCGACGGTTCCATCGGAGGGGAGGCTTCGGGGGATGCGGCCGATGTGTCCCCCTCCTCCGCCTCCACAGGGTTCTGTGAGAAAAAAAAAAGAGAGGGCATCATCAGGAGGGTGGGTAGAGGGCCTCCGGGAGAAGGACCCTTCCGTGTGACCACGGGATGCAATACGCGGCACGACGCCTGCAAGCGCTGATTGGATATAACAATGATATTTAACACCCAACCAAAGATTCAAGCCGCATTCCCGCCTTTGTTCGTTGTATCCCACAGCTGCTTCAAATAACACATCATAACACGAAAATAAAGTGTTTCTTTCCCCCACTCCCACTGTGGAAAAGAATTCAACAAGATTCCCTTCAATGGTAAATATATGTCGCATCTCTCTTTGATTGTATGCACACAAGCATTCATGCAAAAAACACAGACGACGGTGGAGCAAGGTCGGTGAGGTACTACGCACACGTTCCCCCACAAATCGATGCCAAGATGACTGATCACCCATAGACGAACAAGATCATGCCCATTAACCTCACAGCATAGGGGTAGGACCTGGTTCTGAACCGCCAGACGAAGAAAAGAACTACATGATACCGTATATGACACAAGATAACACACCCCGTGGACCGATTTTCAAAGCTCGATTACTCCACGACGAACAGGATGCATAAACGAAATGATACATTTTTCGAAAAGCTCTCGACGAGACGGTTTCAACGCCGCCGTTTTCAGCGCTGTGACTGTTCCTGCAGTTGAGAAATCGAGCTTCGAAAATCGGTCAAGGGGGGTGTGTTATCTTGTGTCATACACGTTATGCATGGCAAGACGACGTAATGACGACTTTGAAAACAAGCCAACCCACCCTCCGATCAACGAGGCCTAACAAAACACTTCCTTCCCCGTTTCGCAAAGCAGAACAGAACAACGGACCCAGCAGGAATCAAGGCGCGGTGCTTTGATATGAAACAAAAAGCCACGACTTACACCCCGTAGACAAAATCTGGCGATATCTCTCAGCGACAACCACCGATGTGCAACCGTGTATTTCTTCTACACAGCAGTGGCCATACACGAAAAAAAAAAATCGCGCAATCGCACTTGTCTTGCGGGGGGGGGGG